CTGAAGCCTGTCCACATACAACCATGCAGCACATTCTTCAGGCAACATACAGCCCACTTCCTTGAGCCGCGCGTGAAACCTGTCGTATTCTGCATTTTAGTCCCGTATCGACTGTCCTGGTCTGCGACGAAGCTTGCGGAACATCTCAGACAGCGCCTTGCCGATCCTCGTCACTTCCAAGTCGAGGTACCTGTTGTGGAGCCAACTCATGGGGTAGTGCACGCCGTCATCTCTGATGAGGGCGTCGACGTTCAACTCTGCCACTCATGCTTTTCCAGTCAAGTGCCTGTACAGCACAAGGCCCTGCTGATTTGGGGGCAAGTAAGTGAGTCGGCGCCAGGCCTCAACTTGTCGAAGATAAGACCGCGCAGATGTACCCACATCTTCATCGTCGCCTCCACCGAAAGTCGGCACGGAAAGCTTTTCCGAGGGCCGCGGGTTGCCGCCCTTCTGACTGCCGAAGTCGCCCGAACCACGTTGGAAGCCACCGTCGCTCTGAGGAAAGTGCTTCCAACCATTCCAGACCGGTCCGCTTTTGCCAAAAGCTGCAGGCACACTCCCATGGCGGTCGCCTCCGGGTGGATCGTGCTATCCGAACCCTCCGGCTCGACCATCTGCCCAGGGATCTTGCCAAACTCCTTCGTAATCGCCGTGTCCGGAACGAGGGTCATGATCATCATCACCGCGGTCGTAATACGAGTCTTCGTGGCCGTAGACGTTGCCCCAAGAACCGCTCTCTCGCGTAGAGGCATCAGTGCTGTAGGCATCCCAGCTTGTAGTCCAGCTGGCTCTCCGTCCTTGCCCTTCGCCACGGTAGGATCTATTCCACGACCGGTCCCAACCAGTCCTGGGCTCCCGCCATGACATATCGCCAGAGTTTTCTTGACCCCAGTCATCTCCAGCATCGTCGTGTCTCTCACTACCCACGGACACTTCCTGCTCAGAAGCGGGAGGTTCATCATCGCCACGGGCCCCCGGTAGAATATCACCAGGAACTTCTACACCGCTCGACATTGCAACAGCAAGAGCTACGGACTACTGGAGCACACTAGGCTCCGCTACCAATTTGAAATTACAGCTACCTACAGGGAAACACAAGCCCCGCGCTACCGCCGCGGTCCCGCCTTCATGCGGACTTTTCCGATGAGCCAAAACCTTCCGGTATAGATCGCCTGTACGCCAGAGTGGCCGAGGAAACCACGAGTGGAAGCCCGTTGGAAATCATTGATTAGCACTGTTGTCGAACTGGTACGGACTAGGAATCACAATATTCGCACAGGACTTCACACTAAACCCTAAACCCTGAATCCAAAACCCTAAACCCTAAACCCTAAACCCCACAACACAAATTTTCTGAAGACACATCTCTTTGAGTCTTAGCCATCGACCCACAGAAGGCCTTACAATCAAGTAAATAACACAACTTGCCTGAAGATATATCTCTTTGAGTCTTATATGGAGTGCCTTGCATTATTCATTGAAAGAAAATGAAGATATGAAAAAAATAAAGCACCTTTAAAAGGAGAAATTACAACAATAAAACATATGAAATCTAATAGCGATAGTGACGGGCAACTAAGTCCCCCCTCAGGGCGGAGCCATGACTAATAAAAATATATGATCTAAATGTTAATAATATGCCAGTTAAATATAAAACAGTAGAAGAAATTTTAAAAGATATTGATACTACAAAACATAAAAAGAAGTTGAAAAGCGGTATAACGATGATCCAAAATTCTGGGATGCTATGTATGGAAAACACAAAAAAGTAGATAAAATGGACAAGGAAGAATAGAAAGAGAAAGACAAAATACAAAAATAAAAATCAAAACTAAAACGAAAAATACAAATTAAATATTCAAAAATATTATTTCAATATAATTATATATACGGGAAATTATTTAAAAAAAAAATCGAATAATGATAACTGTCATATAACTGAGATTAATAACATTAATGAAGATGAATCAAATTTAAGTAATATTGATAAATTACAAATTAAAATATTAAAAGAAATTATAAGAGATATTGAAGAAATAAAAGAAAATAATATGATAAGATATTATTCAAATTGCCTATAAATTTATCTTCACTTTAAATAATTTAGATTATTATCATGAATATTATTTAAAAATTTACTATAAATATATATTCAGATTTATATAGAACATATCATTAATATCCTGTGATTTCAATTTAATAAAATGGAATGAAAACGAATGATAATTTACTATTTGGTTATATATATATCATATAAAGTTGCTTTATCAACTAATGCTGAATTTTCTTCAATAGATATGTCCATTTCTTTCATATTTCTTAATTTAAACATATATAATGAATTGCTATTACGTCTAATAATTGGAGCTACTACGCTATATTTTGAATTGATATAATAATAGATATTGCATTATTTCTTGATTTTCTACATAATCTATGAAATATTTTCGAATAGTTCATAAAACGCGCATCTTCTGCAAAATCATCAATATAGATAAGAATAGAATATAGTTTTTATCTTTATATTATTTCTGATATTCTATTATTTTATATTATATACCTATTTTTTTCTATAATATTGAAAGATTTTAAACATCAAATCGACTATCGCCATTGGTCAGAAAAAAGATATTCATTGAAAGCAATCTTTATAAGTACAATATTATATTTTAGCTTAATATTATTTCTACCTCCTTGACTACTTGATCAAATACTTGATCGGAAGAATATTTGATCTGTCAGATCATATTTGAATTTTTTATATTCATATGCTATTGATTTTTTCGTATATTGATGGTTCTGATTTTTCTATTGACGATATAATATTCATTATAATTTCATAGCAATAGATTATCTAATAAATATATTATTCATTATAATTATAAAAGAACAAGTTATTCTATGAATATAATCTTAAAGCTTATCTTATTATAATCTTATTCGTGTAAATTTAAAGATAAAGATATGGGTACCCCCCTATATGGGGTCCCCTGGGTTTTTGCACACCACCCCCAAACCATTAAACCATTAAACCATTAAACCAATCCTTTGGGGCCATACCACTAAACCATTAAACCATTAAACCATTAAACCATTAAACCAATCCTTTGGGCCCATACCACTAAACCATTAAACCATTAAACCATTAAACCATTAAACCAATCCCTTTGCCCCATACCACTAAACCATTAAACCATTAAACCATTAAACCATTAAACCAATCATTTCCTCCTATAGAGAGAGACACAACCCTGTATGGGCCGAAAGCATTGGTTTAATGGTTTAATGGTTTAATGGTTTAATGGTTTAGTGGTACGGTGGCATGGAGCCAAAGGATAGGTTTAATGGTTTAATGGTTTAATGGTTTAGTGGTTTAGTGGTACAGTGGCATGGAGCCAAAGGATTGGTTTAATGGTTTAATGGTTTAATGGTTTAGTGGTTTAGTGGTATGGGCCCAAATGATTGGTTTAATGGTTTAATGGTTTATTGGTTTGGGTCCATGGGGGGAAATGATTGGGTTAATGGTTTAATGGTTTATTGGTTTGCCCTGCAAGGTATGGTCCTCAGCGCCTATGCGGCGAGACTCCGGCATAGACTCTACTTTTATTTATTTCTTAAATTATACGAACCCTTGATTCTTATGTTGTTTTCCCTTGGTTTACTAATATTGTTATGCTATTTTGCGCCTCGCCTGCATTATGACGACGACGACGGCATGGTTATAACTTTAGGCTTTGGTTATAACCGACAGGCTTTCTGAACATCTTCGCATTCATATTGCAATGTTTACGAGATCAAGCTAGAAAGTCCCTGTTTATGTAGTGTTTGAGCAGCATGAAGCGAGCTGCTCATGTAGCTGGTCTCATGGAGATTCGTGGCAATGGCAAGTGCATCCTAGAACTGCGACAGATAGCCCCGTCCACGGTGAGTGAGTCTAATGGTGCAGCATCTTCCAACGAAATGCAGGTGCCAGACTCTGCAAAGCTTCTTAGTGATGTACAAAATGGAGTAGTGCCAGTCCATATTACCAAAGCCAGCGTCACGAAGAAGGATATCCAGCAGTATATCAACTACCTCCAGCGTGATGCGGGAATACTTCGAGGAAACAACGGAGCGTGGAATAATGCACTCCAACAACGACTATATGCATGGCTACTCAAGGAAAAGAAGGGCGCAAAGACCAAAGCGATTATGGACAAACGCCCTGACGTGGACGACAAGCAGAAGGACGTTGTGGACAAGAAGCACAGCCATAAGGATAAGGACGTGGACATCTACATCGGGGACAACGACAACAACAACGGCAATCAGAAGAACAAGGACGTGGACAAGGACACCGTGCACAAGAACCAGGAGGACAAGGACGTGGACAAGGACATCGTGGACAAGAACCAGGAGGACAAGGACATCGTGGACCCGAGCCAGGCGAACAAAGACGTGGACAAACACAACGCGGACGAGAACCAGAACGGCAACCACGACCAGAACCAGGAGGATGATGATTCGGATTCTTCTTCATCTTCGAGCTCCAGTGATTCGAACCGCCCGCTTCCCGTAGTTGACACCTCCAGCTGGAATTCCGATTGGCACGATACGTGGGAGCATGTTCTTACCTTGTCCAATCAGGTTGATTCTGGACGCAAGCGTCGTCTCTTGATTTCAATGCTCCGTACCATCGCCCACTGCCATACACAATGGCACGAGGAGCGTTAATCGCCATGCAGTCGTTCTGTCTTCCCGCGAGCCAGCTTGAAAAAGTTTGACTTTGCATTGGTTGCACTCGTGAGCCGCCTTGATTGCCAAACACATGGTTATCATCCTACATTGCTCATTGATGATGGTGTGGCTCCAAGCAGTTCGTATAAGCATGTGTTGACACACATTCATCGAGCTTAACACAAGATAACAGCCAACAGACAAGGTTATATAACCCACACGTCTGGTTATATCCGCCGTCTTGCACACAAACTTGTCTCTAGTCGAACCTCCTCGTCGCGCCAATGGACTCCTCTCTCGCATACAAGCGTGCCCTGCAGGAGATGACAGTCTACGACTTTACCCAAGTCGATGTTCCATTGATATCGCGGCAAGATGATGCCATGGGTTGCCTGCAGGATTTGCCTTTGAAAGATATGGAAGGCCGTTACCTCGCCAAGATGGTCATTGACTTGGTTCCGGATATGGTATGGGAGTCTGTGAATTTCCAACAGTTGGAAGAATGCATGATGCAAAAGCAGTACAATGAGCTCCCTCCTCCATTTGGCCCCAAGGTGCTTATCTCAATGCCCTACAAATTGCAGATTGCCATCGTGAAGACGAGCCTCACACACTGCACCGTAATCAAGTACTACTCCTTCGACCAGAAAGTCAATATACGACTGGTTGAAGTCATGGCCTATGGCACATTGAAGTTGTTAGACTTCACTCCCAACTTCCGTGCCGGACCTTTGGCTATACAGCTCATGCTCAAGCAAATGTCGCACTGGTTTGCCCACTACATTCAAGTGGTACCAAAACCTGCCAAGGAGTCAAAGCCCAAGCAGAACACAGACGACCTGCAGAGTGGCTTTGCCTACATCAAGGCCAACGGTCCCAGAAGCAACATTGGTAATCAATAAATTGAATGGGCTGAAATTGAAACCCGGCGGACCGACAGTCCACTTCACGGATGGTCAGCTGGATTGGTTAAGGAATGCCTGCGAGGGCATGCGAGTGGGATCGTGTATGCGAAGACCATGAACGACTTCTATCTGACTCTGCACGACCTGGCCGCCTGGTTCTTAGACGACGTTGTTGTTGAACTTCTTGGAGATCTCAAGTCAAAGACCATTGTTTTCCTCGGCTTGGCTGAGACAGGGAAGACACCAGCAGCGCAAGCTATCGCCATGGCAGTCAGTGAGTACTACATTCTGCGAGACAACAAGGACGATGGCATTCAGCCGGGTTTCCGTATATGCTCTTCTCTTGATCAATTGCGAGGAGAGTCGGGCGAGAAGTATCGTCCAGACATCCTTGATGACCCAGACATCAACATGGTCCCAATCCCTAAATTGAAGAGTTTCCTCGACAGCTCTCTCGCAGAATGCCACACAGTTGAGAGATGGACAGCTGCAAGGTTTGTACAGAATCAGTTACGCATACTTTGCGACAACAAGATCAATGAGAATGCGGAGCCTCCAGAAAGCAGCGGCGTCACCACAGACTTCGACATCTTCTACGACATGATCAAGCCAGCATTTCACGACAAAGCGAACCTCCAGGACATCATGGCGTGCTTAAAGCGTGCTCACTTTGTTGTCAACATGAACCATGCCATCTTCATACGGAAGGCCGGAACGACCAAGGACCCGGTCATGCGTGTGCCTTATGTGGATGGGATGCGGGATTTTCTTAGTGAAGATGGAAAGTCTGTGATTCGCTACATGCAAGACGGCAACAAATGCCCCCCGACAAACTGGGTGCAGAAGCGACAATGGTCGCACGATCTTATGAGTTTGATCATAGAGACACAGAAGAAACCTCCCCGGACGAAAACAATTATCTCGTCAGCTACCTTCGCTGGTGGTTCTAGAACGCGCAAGGAGATCAAGCCTTCACTTCCGTTCTCTGGCCGTGTTTGTCCCGCTTTCATTGCTCAGGATCAGGCACATTCCTCAGAGAACATGGTACAGCCCATATCATCGGAGGCGCCGGGTACATCTTCAGATTCCAAGTCTTTGCAGTCAGAGGTCCCATCTTCCAAGGCGTCGGTCGCCCCGACAGAAATCAAGGAAGAGCTGGATGACGACAAGAATCGCTTTCACATGATGCTCTCCAACCCGGACTTTAACACTGTCATCGACTTGGATCCTACTCCAACATCACCACCTCCAGCCAAGCGGCCACGCTCTACGACAACGGATGAGGTTGCTCATGATGACAACGAAATGGATGTCGCAGACGACGATATTCTTCCTCGTGTCGGTGTGAATCCGGAAGATTGACGGGCAAGAGAGAAGGACATGAGAGGTTCAAGCAAGTTCAGCTTTCTCTTGTGGACATATCCATTAGAGATTTTGATGATAGCTGTACAGTAGACCCGCACGCATCCAGCTACACATTCACCAAGCAAAAGCAAGACAGTGCGAATGCAACTGTGACGATGATACTGGTGTTGACAGAATCATGAGTCATATTTCCCTATCTGCCCGCTCCTCTGCAAGTATTCTGTGTAGAACCTTTGGGCTCACAGGGTAGAGGATCACTATGCCGCTGCTCCCTAGAACTGGTGGCTTGCATGGCAAACCGTTGGAGGACATTACTTTCATCGAGTTCCAGAAATGTATGTGTGAAGAGTGGTTCCAATCAGACACTCATTTCCGTCACTACATGATCCAACGGCGGGTTTTAGACGAAGATGGATAGAATGTTAGTTTGACTCTCAGATCCATTGCGGTGTTCCTTCGCACTGGCATTATATTGGGAATGCACAAGTGCGTCGAATGTAGCGGGCCAACACGGCTGGAATGTTCCAGCTCTGACAGCGGTGTCAGATATCGCTGGACATGTAGAACAAGTGGGCACAAGCACATGAACCAGTCCGTCAACTCGTGTGGCGTTCTCAGCAAGGTCAACATCAACAACTGGATGCCCTTCTTGCACATCGTGAACATGCTGCGCCTGGGGTTGCCATGGGTTCGCATCACCGATGAAATGCGGGCTGGGTATGGCAATGTGAAGGACGACACTATGTTGGGATGGCGTCGATTATATCAAGGAAGCCTGGGGAAGGCCCTCGTGAACATGGATCAAATGAAGATTGGAGGCGCCAACCACACAGTCGTCATTGATGAGTGTTTGGTTGGGACCCATCCGGAGGATGGGTGGTCCTTGAGCAACCGCGGCATCAACAAAAACGTCGCTCATGAACAAGAACGGACTGATGGACGACATGAAGCTACTTCTATGAAGGTTGCCAAGGGTAGCATGAAGGTATTCCCGGCTCGCACTATCAAGAAAAGTGAACGCAAAGCGTTGCGGTCATTCGCTTTGATTAAACGCCCTGCAGCATCCATGAAGCGTCCGTCGGCATCTACTTCCATGAAGCGTCCAGCATCCTCTACTTCCATGAAGCGTCCAGCATCCTCTACTTCCATGAAGCGTCCTTCGGCATCGGGCTGCCTCAAACGGCCTTCCGCTCATCGTCGTCCTCTTCGTGTTCTGAAAAACCCGGCTGCTAACCTGAAGCTAAACGGCAAGTGGTTGTGGCTTGCCGTGTGTGTAGGTCGCGGAAATCAAGTCTTTACGCATGAGAACGGTCTAAAGAAGATCACATACAGACTTCTACCGCGTGCTTCCAAAGCTGTGAATAACAAGCCCCGCGGTTTGTATGAAATTCGTGACACGCTTCATAGCCGGATATACAAAAAGAGTATACTGGTCTTTGATGGCTGGACAGCTACTACACAAGCGGCTGATCAGCTAGGGTATGCCCATCCGCCATCTGTGAAGCACCATAAGTGCTTCAGGGATTCGGATACTGGCTTTCATACGAATGACGCTGAGTCAGAGAACAATCGCTTGAAGCGATGGTCTCGTCAGCGGCACGGTCGTCTGCATATCGAAGAGTCTGATATGCAAGAGTACATGTTCTATGTCAATGTAGGAGGCTCCATGATGTCGGTGCTAGAAGGTTTAGCACAGTGGAGTGAAAGTGGTAAATGCAGAAATCGCATTGTCACGCTTTGAAGCACTAAGGCAATCTCTGCAGTGAGAATGGGGTAGAAAAGACACACGACTAGAGTGCTCCAAGTCCAGCTCCGACAGCGGTGTCAGATATTGATGGACTTGTCGAACAAGTGGACCTAAACACATGAACCATTCCGTCAACTCGTGTGGATTTCTCAGCACACATGTAAAGGAACACGTTGAACACTTTCCTGATATCCAAGGTGCCTATATTGTCGACATTGCCATCGAGCTGCTCCAGCATAATACTATATTCGATAATGTATACCTGATTATGAATTAGTTGACTGGTTATAACCTAGTCGGCTGGTTATAACCTAATCGGCTGGTTATAACCTAGTCTGGTGGTTATAGCTCAGTCAGATGAGGTAGCGAAAAACGTAGGGGACCCCAAATAGGGGTGCGCCCAAAGATATATATATATATATTGATAAGATCTCGATATAAATTATTGAAAGATACTTAAAAAAATCTTATAATATATAAGCTTACAAAAATTTTAAAGAATATCTATTAATCTTCATTTCAATCAGATCAAATATTAGGAGGTTATATTCTATATTGAAATTTTCTTAATTTGCAAACGATGAAAATATAATTTATTTATGATAGATAGGGAAATAAGAGTCTGCATGCTTAAAAACTGAAAGAAATATGGATATTTTATTCAATATCAAATATTTCTAATGTATTTTCTTGAATTGTTTTTGTGTGGTCTATGAGATTTTTATCTTATCATCTTGTTCGTCAATACATTTTATTCTTTGCATCTTCCTTTTTCAATATTATAGACATATATAATATAAATATTCTCAATATACCAATATTAGTTTTATCAATTTCTATAATCTCTAATAAATCCCTCATTAATAAGTCTTCTATTGTTGGTCTATCGTTCTTGCAAAATGAGCAGAAGAATAATATATGAATTCTATTATTTCTTTATTCTCAATTTCAATATAATTTCTTGATATATCATTATTAATTGATCTTATATTATTTATTTTGTCTTTACCAATAGAAAATATTGCTCGTTTCTTCCCGGCAGTTGTCATGAAAAATATATATTTCTGATATTTATCTCAGCTTTTTATATGAAATTCAGTAGTTGCATAATATGATATTCTTAATGGTGGTTGTTTTATGAAAATGATTAAAATTTTAAATATTTCTTCTATATTTTAATTTCTTTGTAATTTATAGAATGTGATATATCGATAAAATAGGAATAATCTTTAAAATATTGTTATTCTTCTTCGTCTAATTGATTATCAACGTCATCTGATTCCGTACGGTTCTTTAATTTCCATCCCTGATATTGCAAATTGATAATCATTCTATCATATAAATTTTATAGTTTCATCCATTTAGCAATTATAAAAAATATCGTTTCTTTAGATGAATCTGGCATTTCTAATTTATGAAAAAAATCTTTAATCTGATTAGTTATATTAATATAAATAATCTTTTCTATTTAATTCTTCTCTGTTCTTTTATAAATGATTATGTAACCATCTATATCTAACTGAAATCTTATAATTGCAATCATTTATTTTTCCAGATATTATATATATATAATTTTATATATTAATATTTATTCAAATCTTTGTTCAAATCATTTTTTAGATAGTCGTTTATAACAATATTATTTGGTTATTCAAAACGATTTCGTCACGATATATTATATTTCTTCTTTTCATTCAATGTTTGAGATCTTCTTTATCTTTATAGATATGATATTTCTGAGAATATGGGCCCGGCTGGAATCTGGAATCAGAATTGGCTTAAAATTGGTTTTAAGCCGATGGCGCGGTTGGTGAGGACGGACTCTGTGTAAGGGCTTGAAACCGTTTTCAAGCGACTGTGAGGCCAAGATCTCAGGGCTTGCGCGGCTTAAAACCGATTTTAAGCTCTGCCTGGGCCTGGTGAGCTCGAAACCAATTTTGAGCCTACTGGGTGTGCTTGCTCCTTGCGTCCTTCAACCCTACACCCAGAAGGCAAAGCTCTGAACCCCAAAACTTTCCCTTGTACCCCCTAAGCCTGCAAAACTCCGGGGCCGTAAGCGCCCAATTTCAGTCCTAAACCAACAACCTGCAAAACTCCGAGCCCGATGCCTCAAGGTTTAGGGTTCAGGGTTTAGGGTTTAGGGTTCACGATTAGTTCGAATAGGAAGTTATACTGAGGTGGTTTGTGTTGTTCAGGGGTTCAGCAGGTCGGGAGTGACATTTTTCGGTGACTGGTAAGGCTCACTGTCAGCAATGAGGGTCTGTTCGTCTCGCACGAGCATGGTCGTGGAGAGACAGGGCGCCTTGGAAAAACCTCCCGTCTTGTTGCGGCTGAGCAGGCATGCTTTCCTTAAAGCAAACGTAGCCCTAAACCCTAAACTACTGTGAAGCATCTTTCCGCTTGCAGCTTGGGGGGTCAAACCGAGGGCATTGAAAGCATGCAGCTCGAAGCAGAGCCAAGCGAAGCGACCCAAAACGATGTGCAAAGACTGTATGGTTGTAATTTATAATTTCTACTATTTATCACATCGTCGTAATATACTGTATATACTATTCTACAAAAACACATATGTACATATGTATATATATATGTGTGTATTATTTTATTCTATCTATATCTATATGTAGAAACTTTTCATAGCTGGTCTGGAAGCATTCCATCTCCAACATCTGACGTTTACAGCTACGATTCGCTAACCCAAGATACGAAAGTCGAAGCGAAGGCTCCACTCAAAAACAAGACAGGAAGAGAGTATCTTCCCTTTTCTGGTGGGTTCTAAAGCCTCCCTAGAGGCTGATACCCTGCCCATGCTCTGTCAAGAAGAGCCCAAGCCGGTCCAGGTTCCACACTTGTTGCTGTCAGGGGTTAGGGCTAGGGTTTAGGGTTCAGGGTTTAGGGCCTAATGGGTTTAGGGTTTAGGGCTGCCGGATCCGCGTCTGAGAAAGTTAGGCAAAATATGACTGGAAAAGGTGCCATGGCCAAAATGCGCGCGGGCCAGCAAGATGGGCGTCGAACTTGCCACACAGTACAACACCGCCACAGGCGCGTGTGGAGAGCGCTGCGGCGTCTAGGCAAACGCAAGCAAAGACTGCTGGCACAGCCTCTATAATATATCCGATATCATAAGTATATCAAATATAAAACACAGATAACATCATAGATATCTTAAATCACTCAAAGCACTTACACATTACAAAGAAATGGAAAGCAGTCTTGGTAGAGGTCAAGCAGGTCCAGGGTTCAAGACTTCCGCTCGTAAGTGGTTTGGGATCAGGGTTTAAGTTTAGGGTTTTGGGTCTAGGGTCTAGGGTCCAAGGCCTGGGGTCTAGGGTTTAGGGTTTGGGCGGGCTATGGATTCCCGCAGCCTCGTCTGAGAAAGTTACTGAAAAAGATGGCATGGCCACTCGCGTCGGAAACGCCACACTGTACAACACAGCCGCAGGTGCGTGTGGAAAGCGCTGCGGCGTCTAAGCAAAAGCAAGCAAAGACTGCTGGCAGACCCTGTGCAAGGGGCGAGGAGAGGCCACGTACGAATGATTCTGGTGTAGGGTTTGTGCGGCAAGCAACGGAATCTGCAGCTAGACTTCTGCCTTGGCTCTTGGAGCTTGAGGCAATTTTGGGCACGTGGCCTCGAAGTGGTTCTGCAACATGTGGCATATATACACATCATCACCCCAAACATCAGACGATATCATGGGAGGCGGCGTGAACATGCGTTCGCCCTCCAAGTCATAATCTGAAATCACCTTGATTCGGCGAAGCAAGAGATGGGCAGCACCAACCAACGTGAGGTCATCCCCCCAAGCATCAGGCCTTGACATATAGTCCAGATAAGCGCTGTAAGAAGCAAACTTCGCTTCGATGTCCTTTTGGAACAAGTCAGGAAAGGCCCGAAGGTAGCCCACCACCTGTGTGCGGAAGGAATACGCATTCATCGGTATTCCAGCCGACAGCAGGACAGCTTGGAATTGGCACGAGCCATCTGGCTCCGTGCTCACACGGTCCAAGCCCAAAGGGTCCAGACGTAGCTTGAGAACACGGCGGCTCCTGGTCGGGACGTTGCAGGGGCACAATCAAGGTGCCCTGGACCCCTGAACAGTTATGGTCGGGGCTGCAGGAGGGGTTTACGGTTAACCCCAAGTGCACATGCTTGACCCGGCTTTACAAGGTTTTTGCGTGTTGGCCCCAATCCTGTCCAGTCGCGCAGCCAAGTCTTTGTTGTCCTGCAGCGACAGCTGCATTGCCAGCGCCACCTAGGGACTTCACGTGGTTGGTACTTGATCCACACAGTTTGCACTGAGAACAGCAAGGGAAGCAAGGACGAAAGGCAAGTTTAGAAAGACGGGAGCCTCTTGCCGCTCGAACCTGTCAGCAGCGCTTTCGAAGCTGTCTTGGAGCGAGCCAAAGAAAGTCTTCAGTTTATCCGGGCTTGAAGCATCAGCCGCGTGCTGCCGACAGAAGTTGCCATTGACACGGCGGCGCTTGCAACGACCACCCTTCAGGACGGTGGCCAAACAAAGCCCATCAGCCTCGTCCCCAGCAGCCATGCAGTGAGACTTGGCGTTCTTTGCTGCAGAGCCAGGCAAGAAGCGCTCGGCTGCAACATCGCTGACAGGCAGGTCGGGCTCGTCTTGCTGCGTCTTGGCCTCCTGGCAGCTACCATGGACACAAGATATCTTTGTAAGCTTCAATGTTGCAGGTTGTACCCTATGTCGTAAGTGTTCCAGGTATGTGTGAATGCGGAGACAGTCCTCAGGTGCAGCCAGCATGCGCTTCGTGGCCTCGGACCTTTTCGCCTGTCACGGATGTTTAGAGTGCAGGGTTAAGGGTTAGGGATTAGGGAACCATTAGGAATGCCTTGTGGTGGATTTAGCAGCCACCCGGCCTTGCCCATGACTCGTTTCACTGGCTGCGAGTGCAAAGGCCCCTTCGGAAGCTTTTGGAAACCTTCCTTACTCACCAGGCCAGCGATGAAGAGGGCATGCTCCGAGTAGCCTCCGCACTTGACGAAGTCCACGTGAGCATCCACCGCGTCTCCATCGGCTGTGATGTAGACTACAGAAAAAGTTTGAACAAGGTAGATGTGCCTGAATAAATCATAGCTCTTGGTCCTGACATTGCTGCAGGCCTGTCGCACCTGCAGGGAAGTCTTCCAAATGCTAACGTTAGAACTAGGCAACCTGCTCCTACGAGTGCACAATCCCACGTTCTCAGGAGGGGATTGAGGCTAACACCGACCCTCTCAGAATCGTGCTCCAGACTGATGTGATGGTTTACATGACAATGCCACGAACGTGCTGAACCCCGGTGTCTGCAAAGTATGCAGGACGTTGCTTGCCCCAGCCTCACGCTCTGAACATGCTAGAGCCAAGTGCAAAGCGGCTCTCATGTCCCCCGGCCGCGTCGAAGCCAGGTGAAGCTTGTACTTGGGGAGAACATAGACCAACCGCGCCCGTTGCCCGGTAGACAATGTGACGTCACGGGAAGAAGCCAAGTATGTAGCCCGAGGCCCATGTTCGCGAAAGTGCTTGATGATGCTCGCACGGTCTAGACGGTTCTCTTGCCGATTCGCATTCTCACCATCCGCATCCTGCATCGGCATGATGCCTGCTGTCTTCCGTCTCGGCCACGCAACCAAACACGTCGGAGGCTCCTGCATCTCCAAGGAAATAGGTGAGAAGGACGCAAGAGTTTCAGGGCAGCCGTTGAAAGTTTAGAGTTAGGGTTTAGGGTTTAGGGTTATGGTTCAGCAGCGCTGGTCGAGCAGTGTCAAGGCAAGTTCGCTATTCAGAACATAGAAAAATACCCACCCAGCCAGAGAATCCCAAAATATTAAACAATAAAAAGTTTTGTCACTGCCCCTCAGCTCGGTTCAACACCCAAACCCTAGGCCTTAACCTTAAAGCTGAAACCCTATGGCCCAAACTCTCAAGACCAAACCTAGAATCAAAACCAATGCCACTGTTTGCTGTTTGTGTTTGCTTCTTCATCTCAGTCATGGGAAAGCACCACTTTGAGGCCAAAGCAACGGCAACAAATCGTACTTCTTAGCACTGGGGCACCACTTCACAAACCAAAGCAACGGCAACAAATCGTACTTCTTAGGACTGGGGCACCACTTCACAAGCAACAACAACGGCAACAAATCGTACTTCTTAGCACTGGTCCACTGCCGCAGAGCATCCATGTGCCAATCATGATAACGTCCAGATCAGACCATACCCATTGCCGCAGAGCATCCATGTGCCAACCATGATAACGTCCAGATCAGACCATATCCATTGCCGCACAGCACCCATGTGCCAACCATGATAACGTCCAGATCAGACCATATCCATTGCCGCACAGCACCCATGTGCCAACCATGATAACGTCCAGATCAGACCATATCCATTGCCGCAGAGCATCCATGTGCCAACCATGATAACGTCCAGATCAGACCATATCCATTGCCGCACAGCACCCATGTGCCAACCATGATAACGTCCAGATCAGACCATATCCATTGCCGCAGAGCATCCATGTGCCAACCATGATAACGTCCAGGTCAGACCATATCCATTGCCGCACAGCACCCATGTGCCAACCATGATAACGTCCAGATCAGACCATATCCATTGCCGCAGAGCATCCATGTGCCAATCATGATAACGTCCAGGTCAGAACATATCCAGTGCTGCAGAGCATCCATGTGCCAACCATGATAACGTCCAGATCAGACCATATCCATTGCCGCACAGCACCCATGTGCCAACCATGATAACGTCCAGATCAGACCATATCCATTGCCGCAGAGCATCCATGTGCCAGCCATGATAACGTCCAGATCAGACCATATCCATGCAATTCGGACCGTGCACACCAGAACTCGGCCTGCAGAATTCTGAGGAAGGTTTCATTGCAATTCGGACCGTGCACACCAGAACTGAGTTCTGAGGAAGGTTTCGTTGCAATTCGGACCGTGCACACCAGAACTCGGCCTGCAGAGTTCTGAGGAAGGTTTCGTTGCAATTCGGACCGTGCACACCAGAACTGAGTTCTGAGGAAGGTTTCGTTGCAATTCGGACCGTGCACACCAGAACTCGGCCTGCAGAGTTCTGAGGAAGGTTTCGTTGCAATTCGGACCGTGCACACCAGAACTCGGCCTGCAGAGTTCTGAGGAAGGTTTCGTTGCAATTCGGACCGTGCACACCAGAACTGAGTTCTGAGGAAGGTTTCGTTGCAATTCGGACCGTGCACACCAGAACTCGGCCTGCAGAGTTCTGAGGAAGGTTTCGTTGCAATTCGGACCGTGCACACCAGAACTGAGTTCTGAGGAAGGTTTCGTTGCAATTCGGACCGTGCACACCAGAACTCGACCTGCAGTTCTGAGGAAGGTTTCGTTGCAATTCGGACCGTGCACACCAGAACTCGGCCTGCAGAGTTCTGAGGAAGGTTTCGTTGCAATTCGGACCGTGCACACCAGAACTGAGTTATGAGGAAGGTTTCGTTGCAATTCGGACCGTGCACACCAGAACT